AATGGGCTATCTGCACTGTACCCAACATGGGTATCAAAAAACTCAATTTTTAGTGTACAAGGACTCAAGCTTACAGCTTAGCCATCATGGGCCATTTTTATGAAATAAAAAACAGTAATGCATTGGTTCTTCATGCATCATAAAGTAAAATGTGTAATGAGAATAACACTATAAAAAAAAAACTCCCTTGTATAATTTCTACTGAAATATCATTCTAATTTAAACCATTTTGGCATCAAATTGATCTATTCATAAAAAATAAATGTTTAAAATTTTTCACTTCTTATTTCAGATTTTGCAAATACCGTATTGCCGGCATCTATGCATAAGATAAAACATGAAAGTTAAGAGAGTTGAAATCACAACATTACTGTCTTTACAGAGAAATGACACTATGTATGGGAAAAAGAGCACATCATACAAGTACATCAATATATATCTAATGTAATACTTAATAACTTAATATAACAGAGCACAATTTTGTAAAAATACATGTAATTTTTTAGAACACTATTATTTCACAAACAGATAGTATAAAGTACATAACGTTTGTTTGACCACATTTAGTAGTTCAAAGCCAAGAGAAAAACAACAACATAAGGCCAGATAAAGTTAATACATTTCTTGTTTTTTATACATATTTTTTATTCACTGTAATGAAAATAATCAAAATTTAAAACTTAGAAACTTATTAGGTTAGATAAGAAAACATATATGACAAAAATTAAAAACATTTCTCAGCGAGATATTTCTGCAAGCTACTCTCATGTTATGTATTTCTATACCTTGTTTACCATAATATGATCTATGTGCTTACTGGGTGGTTTATAACTTTGTTATGCAGATTTAGTATGACACAGTTCAAAGAGCAAACAAACAAACAAACAATAAAATTAATTGAAAACAGATGTAAGCTGTTACAAGTCTGATAATTACTGTAATTTTCTCTTACAACTTGTAGCCATTCTAGAAATAAACAATGGCGATTTAGACTTTTCTCATTTTATGTGGTGATTACCAGGTTGGTCAATAGACTGACCTCATATAATGTTAGGGTAGAGAAACTGTAAAATGAAAGCAATTTTAATCTAAATATGAAAAAAACCTTGTATTCAGAATAGACAAAGTCTGACTCTATAAATTCAAAGATATATCTTAAGTTAGAATATGTTTTTCTTAAACAAAACACTTGTAATGTTTATTAAAAGCTTGCCTAATCTTGTGAAGATACACTATAACTTGAGAAGTTATATTATGTACAGTTTCATGGTGGCTGCAAGGTTGGTCAAGAAAGTTAAGTAATTACTATACACTACTCAAATACACCAACAAACTTTCAAGACTAGAAAAAACAACATAATTATTTACCTAACTAATCAATGAAGTTGGTGCTTACCTGTTTAATGAGAGACACAGTAGATAGAGAGAGTGGAGTATTTGCTACACGCAGAATTCGTAGACTGGGACAACCATGTTGAAGCTCTTCTAAAAACAGTACAAGACTTCCTCCCAATACTGTCAGGTTTGAGATATCAAGTTCTTCCAGCCTTGGACAAGACTCCTAAAACCATAACATACAGTTTAAATATTATAATTATATAAGGTTCTGCAACTCTTATAACACCGATCAATGAGATACTTCAAATAACTCAGGTGTCCCTTGAGACAAGGATTACTATCAAGTTCTTCCAGCCTTGGACAAGACTACTAAAACCATAACATGCAGTTTAAATATCAATAAACATATATAAGGTTCTGGAACTGTTTAACAAAGATCAATGAGGTAATTCAAATAATTAAGATAGCCCTTGAAACAAGGAATATTTTTTGTGGCCTTTGAAAAAAAAAACTTATAATATTAAGCACGCTGGATATCTTGTAAGATACTAAAATTGAAAAAGTTAATGAATTTTAGCATGTTTACTTACCTTTAAACTACATGCATAAAGATCTGTTTAGTAGTTACATGTACAAACATACTAGTTAAATTGGATTTGGAAGAAAGAACTCTTAATGACATGGTGGGAGGAAAAGTGATTTAATACTGCTTTAATCCAAATGTATACACTTTCTGTGTTACAGGCAGGTAGAAAAGTACAATAACCATAAAGATGTAAGTAATAATTTGTCAAATTGGAAGTTATATTGCCATATTTCTGAATTGGTTCTTAAAGTAAATTTGAAAATCTTTACAACTAAAATGTCTTCTTTCATCACTGGTTTTAGAACCCACGTTAAATTTCAGCAGCATTAATTTTAATGAAACAAAAATCACATTAAAAAAAAAAACAACTCACAAAAAGTTTTCTAAAATCTAAATAATGATTTAATTTTTTTGAAATTTAGTTTTGATAGACTATGACATTTAATGAGAAAATCCTCTCTCAGGTGAAAATTAGTTTTGATTGACTATGACATGTAATGAGAAAATCATCTCTCAGGTGAAAATTAGTTTTGATTGACTATGACATGTAATGAGAAAATCCTCTCAGGTGAAAATTAGTTTTGATTGAGTATGACATGTAATGAGAAAATCCTCTCAGGTGAAAATTAGTTTTGATTGAGTATGACATGTAATGAGAAAATCCTCTCAGGTGAAAATTAGTTTTGATTGAGTATGACATGTAATGAGAAAATCCTCTCTCAGGTTTTGAATTTACATTTTGTCAAAAAACGTAAAGACAGATTAAATGGGAGAAATTAACTACCTGACTAAATAGCTCCAATAGAAACACTACATACATACACATACACACACACTATATTACAAACACTAAAATTAGAAAATAGGGAAGCGAAAGCATAAGCTTGAAATAATTTCGAAATTTACATGATAAAGAATAATGTGATATTGTTCAACAAAACTTAAATAGAAGGATTTTGAAATGACAAGTTGACAGAAAAAACTACTTACACTTATAGCATGCAAAACTGATGTCATTGCTGCAACCTCATTTTCAGCCAGAATAAGACGTGTGAGGTTCTTTCCACACCGAGAGACTAGATGCTTTAGACTTGCTGGAGAGATAGGGCTATACTGACTGCTATATCTCTGAAATTAAGATATACTTTTCTTTATACAAGTTAAAGTCAGTAAGCTAAGAAACAATATTGATAATATTACCCATACTGTTCTGTTTTGTGTCTTCTGTCAGAATTATTTTCATGATTTCTTAATAATTATCTCCATAACTTATAAAAGTTCAATCTTCTTAATTTTGTGGATAATGACATGGTTTGGATTAGTTTTCAGCCATAGAGACATAAATGTTATTGAATGCTGTGCATAAACTGGATTTTTGGTCAGACGCTTGAAGCATCCGCTCAGGTTTAAAAAGATAAAATTCTCTTTGTATTGCAGATATAATAGATAAAAACATTTTTTACAAGCTCATTTCAAATGAACTAAAAAGTATTCTATTAATCCTTCAAAATGTTTCTCATCAGGCAAAATCAATCTGAAAAAACAAACAAACAAACAGAGAGTCCAAATCAAGTTTAAAACTGTCATGTTATATGTTTAAATCAAGGGTTAAATTCTAAACAATATGTTTTAGTAAACGAAATAGTTTTGAAAGCAACAAACCTTTCTCTTTCACAGCATAAAAATAAAGGTCTCAAACATACAAATTAAAATAATTTGTTCAAGCATTTTGATATTTTTATATGTACTTATGATAAACAGTAACCTGATGAAAAATTTAAAAGTTGAGTAGGAAATAATATTAGAAGCATTTCAAAAGGCTTTAAAAACTTAACATTTTCCTATACTGAAAATGTATTTCTGATAATGCTTACCTCCTCTCACAGTTTAGCTTTATCCCAACAAAAGTTTCTCTTCTCTGCCCATATAAGCATTGGTATGTATCTTATCTCGCTTGGTCCAGTCTTTATAACCCACAATATTACCCAAAGTAATTTCAATTTTGTGATTATCTCCACCTACATCAAGGTGCCCCCCCTATACCAGATCAAAATATAAGCTCCCCGTTATTACTTCCTATTCACATTTCGAGATGCTCCAAATTGGTAGACCCAAAACAGGCCATATCGTGGGGAGAAAGGGCAGAACAGTGTGAAAGGAAGTAAGCATTATCGGTAGAGGAAAATGTTAACTTCCGAAACACACCTCCTCTCATACTTTAGTTAGAATTTCACACTGATAAGGTGAAGGGACTGGTGGGGGCAAAATCCATAAAGAAAGCACGTGTTTAGAAAAGAGGTGTGCAAAAATGGGGTTCACACTACTTCTGGAACAGGTATGCTCTTTGTCCATAAAATTTGAAATCTAATTCTTGGGTGGTAAAGACTGACCGGCCACAAAGGCAAAATCTAAACCTCATTAGAAGAACATAAATTCATTCAAGCAACAACCAGGCAAATGAGGTTCAACTTCTTGTCTTTGGAATTATAGGGCTATGGATGCAATTGAGATCCAACGCGTAGTGGCTAGGGTATGAGGACCACTTTGTATTTGGCCATGATTAGTAATGTGGTAGTATTGGAATCCAACCTGAAAGTTACAGAATGTTACTTGTTGAGCCACAGGAATTACAAAGAGAAGGTAAGCAATACTGAGTGGACAAACCCTCATCTCAACTTGAAGAAGCACAAAATGCAACACACCAAACTTGAAATTATGGGACCTATCATGCCTCACTGAACCTGAGGAAACAGAGATAATCCATTCTGGGATTACAAACCGAAATCCAAACTCCCCAACCTGAGGGGCAAGGCAACACCTCCTGCCCCTGGAATTACCTGGAGAATGTGGAACAAATTAACTCCAATGAATGGCCCAGGAATTGATGTTCCATGTGCATAATTACGAGTAGTCGAGGTCCCTTTTCTATGATCACTGAAACGATCAGAATGACCAAAAAAGAAGGGTCACACTCAACTCAGCAGGATAGTGAAGAGTCATCTCTGAACCAGAACTATTATGGCTCCTACCATACATTTGAGAAAACCGTCCAAGGTTATTAGCAGGAGGGTACCCTGCTTTACCCTCTTCTCCTTGAGTGGAATAATGAGTTCAAGTGTCACTCAGGAGGAATAAACCTCTGTCCACCACTCCAGCGACTGCAAACTGGGAGTGGTAAGGACTCCAATGCTCTACTAGGAGAAATGGGGGGGGGGATACTCCCATTGAGGAGTCTAGAGGAACAATAATCCGGAGATAGTGCAACAGGTGAACCACATTCCCTATTTTGAAAAGCAAAAAGCAAACCAACCCTGATTTATTCAATCTAGGGGTCAGCAGGGATAGGCAAAATACCCTTAAGCTTTACTCATGATAGTCCATGAGTGGCATCTAGTAGTGTATTTGTCTTTGTGTTATAATTGTTTACCACCCAGAAAGAGCATGAGGTGGTCTTATGGAACACCTCATCTCAACAGAGCTCATTGCTACCAGGAAATTTTTTATTGGTCGACTGGTAGCTAGTGCAGAATTGGAAATAAGCATACTTGACCATGCAACACCCACCACAGAGTGGGATCCAAATAAAAATGATGAAAGGGTTCATGAAAAAGAATAGAAATAAACACAAAAGAAATGAAGTCACTCACCTCTCTTACAAATTAACCAGAGCATGCAGAATAACCACGGGGGGTAGCTGAAAACCACCAAATCATGTAAATAATGAGACGTAAAGGTATTAGCCGTAGTCCACATACCAGCCTACAGAACCTCCTACAGTGGGTGATGCAACTGAGCTGCTAGGGATATCGAGATATGGGGAATTTGACAAGATGAGACTCGAAGAAGTCTCCATTCCACCAATGAAAGCCTAGAGTAAGCAATATGCACCAATTGATGAACTCATCTTGTCAAAGTGACAGGGGATAAGTTATGTGATACCTTAGGATCCCAATGGATAAACAAATGGTGATGTGAACCCCAAAACCCTTCAGTGCATGCAACATAACATCAAAGAGCCCGACCCGGGCATAAAGGACAATCAGGATCCAAGTGATAATAAACTTGTGAAATGAAGGAAGATGGATAGGAGAAAAAGTCTTATCCCCTTTTCTAGCTGCTGAAGTTTTGAGAAGAAGGACCTATTTGGATACAACAAAACATAAGTAGAATGGTAAAGAGTCCTGTGAACATGAATAAAAAATGCATCCAAATGTTGACATCTGCTAGCTAACAAGAGAAGAAAATAAGTCTCAAGTGAAAGGTGATAGAGGGAACATGAAGCCAAATGTTCAAAGGGTGGAATGAAATAAGGTATGGAGAATCACCGAGATATCCCAATTAGGAACCTGAAAAAGGACATTGAGGCCAGATAACCCGAAAAGATTTCAGAAGCAAGGACAAAATTGGGGACTCAAAATTTTACATCTTCCAGAAAAACAAAAAGTAGCTGACAAAGTTGCCTTATACAAAGAAATTGACAAAGGTGCCAAACTTTTAGAAAATAACCATGTCATAACAATAATTAAACCATTTACACTGATAAACATCCAAGGAAGAATGCCAACTGAACCATGTTAATAAAGATGCCACCCAAGAGGTCAATCCCTGACATTATGCAATGGAGCACATAAAAGCCAGGTGTGAAACCAGAGAATGGTGATCGCTGGATGAAGAATGTTCAACCAAGACTGATGTAAGGGGGATGACCAGAGAGGAAGCAGAAGAGGTTGGCACTACTGAAGATACTGAAGGAGTGGAAACCAAGGCTGATCCAGCTAATATCCAAGGTTCTTGCAGTGATTTGCTCCTTGTCCTGTCAAGTTCTTCTGGTGACACTATATTGGCTGGGTCAGCCTGGTTCCACTCCTTCAGTATCATCAGTAGTGCCAACCTCTTCTGCATCCTCTCATAGTGCCACCAGAATAACTTGACAGGACAAGGAGCAAATCACTGGAAGAACCTTGGATAACAGATGAATTTGAGAAAATGCATAAAGATGCAGACCTGTGCAATCCTGGCTGAGAGCATCTATGCCCCAAGCCTAAGGGTGAGGGACAGGAGACCAGAAAAAATGGGAGCTGGGTATTCCAGTGAGTGACAAAAGCATTGATCTGAGGCATTCCGAGACGAGAACAGACCAAACAAAAAACTTGTGGATGAAGCATCCATTCCATGGGAAGAACTCTGTTGGGACAAAATAATTGATCAGCCACTAAATTCAAAACACCTGCAACATGACAAGCAAGGAGAACCATTTGACGATTGTGGATCCAAAAGAGAAGATCCAATGTGTGAAAACAGAGAGAACTGGAGTGCGTGCCCCCTTGCTTGGAGATGTAGGAGACTGAAATGGAATTGTCCAAGTGAAGCATTACCACCTTCTCTCTCAACAATTTGAGAGCCTGAGACAAAGCTCATTGAACAGCTATAAAAGATTGATGTGGAGAGAAGGTTCCTCTTCTGTCCAGAGACCCCTGAATTCCATCTCCCCTACACAAGCTCCCCATTCCTGGAGAGATATACCTCTAAACGTGGGGTTAGGCGAGGGACAGCTACTATCATGTTGTCCCTGTTCAACCACAAGCCAGGATTGAGCTGGTTGGAAGCCGATATAGTCACTGGACAATCCAGAATATCAGTACAAATGTTCTTGTCCTCATAATGAAAACTGAAGGGAACACATGTGGGCTTGACCCAAAGGAATGAGTGATTCCAAGGATGCCCACATCCCCAAAAGAGAAGGAAATGACTGTATTGGAAGAACAGCCCATTCCATGGCCTGAAGGAGCAGAGAAGAAGGTTGGGTACAACAGATAAATGAATAGAAAAATAGCCCTAAATGGACGAGGTACTGTGTGGGAGTAAGAATAGACTTCTCCTTTTTATGAGAAACCCAACTCTTGCAGCTTCTGATAACAGAGTTTCAGTGTGAAGTTCTGCCAAGTGGCGGGAAGAAGCCAGTCATCCGTGTAATGATGAGTGTGAATGCTCAACAAGTGAAGATGACATGAAAAGGAACTTACTATCCAGCAAAAGACCTATGGGGCAGATGTGATACCAAAAGATAGACTGCGAAACTGAAAACTGGTTTCTCATACAAATATGAGAGATAACAACGTGAATACTCCACAATTGGAATATAAAGATAGGCAATGGCGACATCGAGCTTTGTCATCCATAGACCAGGTGCAAAGTGCTACCAGAAGAAAAGAAACAACTCCATGGTAAATCCAGGAGGCCACAGCAAATGATTCAGAAGAGAAAGATCAATGACAGGTCACCAGTCACCCATCTTCTTTGGCACTATGAACAAATGGGATTAAAAACCCCCAAGAGAGGAGTCGATGTGCTCTATAGCCTCTTTGTGTAGAAGATCCTGGATGGCATGTGCTCGATGACTGGATGTAAGACGATACTTGGGGAGGAGAAAGATAACTGGTATGATAGACAACAGAAAAGGAGATGTGAAATGATGGATGAATCCACTTGCAAGAACCTGAATGACCCACATTGATCCATGGTGAAGGTCTCCCATATAGATACCAACCATTTGAGACAAGCCCCGACAAGACAAGATCCAATAGGGTAGTCACAAATACTGTTGTCAGTACTCCTAGTGTCGGCTAACAATACAAAGAATTAAATTGTGGTGGTATGCTATAAGTTCTTCAAATACTTATAGAATGATAGGTTTCTTTTTTGTGAGTGTAAAACATTTTAATACACCATTTCGAAACAAACTAAATTCATAAGCTTAAAACGTACAATGTGGTGAAACTAACATTCTTTTATGGAGACATCTAAGTGTATATGTGAAAGATTATATACAATTTTTGAGGAAGAAATTCTTAATTAAAATTTTAAAAATGTTAACAAACTTTAGAGGCTCCTGAGAGATCAATGCTAGTCAGGTTAGGGCAGTGGTCAGCCAAAAGCTGGATACACTCTCGAGATATCCGGGTGCACTGAGCAAGGCTAATACTGGTAAGTTGAGAACAGGATTTCGCAATGGCCTGAAAAAAGAAACAATATATATATATCGCAAATATTAAATTACACAGAAAAGAACAATTACATATTAAAATATTAATACATAACACAAACATCTAAGTACAATACATTTTTATGATAATAAAAACATATAAAAAGAAAAAACACCATTAATTTTAGTTCTGTTTGTAAGTATCTGAGAACTGGTTACAACTGTATTTTTGGGACCAAATGCCATATCAAATATAGCAACAGACATTTAACATGTGTACAGTTTAGTATTAATTTATTGGTCCAAAAAGAAGGTACATTTACTATACATAAATAGTTTAACTCAAACTTTCGATTACTGAATTTAAGCCAAATCAGAATACAATAACATATTAGGTTTACACTAACTGTATCTAATATTGAATTCATAATTACTGAAAACTGAATGAAGGCTTAATTTACCAAACTGTAGGTGTAACAAGCAGATATCTCACAGTATAAACATGTAGGTTTACATGAAACATATTCAGTAGCAAATAACATGCTGGTTTGCTTAACACTGTAGTAAATAAAAAAAATTACAAAAAACATAACACAAGCACATATTCTAAAAGACTTGGTAAAATAAAGAACCAAAACTAATCTTGTCTGAATTCTAGCCTCAAGTAAGTCTGTTGAATTATGCATATTCTCAACATGCAGCTTTTGGTGTGATGTATTACTTTTTGGTTTTTATACTTCCCTGATTGTATTCAGCAGAGAAAAAAAAACAAACAAATAAAGAAGTTTGTTTATGCATTGTATGGTGACCTTTATGTTATTTTATTCTGAATTCTTCCTTCTCTGAAGTTCAGGTAAACTTTTAAGTTCACACCAAATCCATTTTTTTATTTTGTTAAGAAAATAATATTCATACTGTACCTTTTAATTTAATGGAAATCTTTAATGAAAAAACCCATCTCAATTTCAAACTAATCTTTATTTTTCATTCTTAATGACTGATTGTAAGGTTTATCTACTATTATTGTTACGGCATTACAGGGTTGTGATTCATTATCAAGTAATGGTTAATAAATCAAGTCTACAATTTCTAAAAGTCAATAAGACTTGAACGAACAAAACAATTTTTAATACACAAAATAATTAACAAAAAGTATAGTTTTTTTTTTCTAACAAAAAGTGACAAGATTATAAGTCAACTTAAAGTAGGGTACCTAGCTTCAATAATCATACTCAAATCAAGCAATATCTGCATCTACCATGCCTAGGGCTATTTACTGTAAAATGATATTTAATTCTTAGAAACCTACACCTAGTTTAGGAAAAAAAACAACTTAAATTACCTTCCTAACAAAACAGTCAATAAATATAAAATATATAGACATGCATAAGTCTATGCATAGTGTATTTTTCATTAATAGTATAAAGCACTTTAGCACATTAGAATCTGTTTCTTACCAAACATTAATATTTTAGAATTTTTTAAAAGTTGCCAAGGATATCATATACATAAAAATTAGCTTTTGCTGGTATTCATAGATCAGTCTAAAATTTACAATCCTATACTAATTTACATTGTGTGAATTTGTTTGTCTGCACACTCGTCCCACAATTTTGGAGTTAGCAGAATCAAACTTGGCATGCATTTATCCTTACCACAGGGTTTGGGAGAGTAAAATATTCCTGTAAGATCACCTAGAAATGATGGTGGTCTAGGTGGAGGTTTGCAGCATCACTGAACTTGATTCTAGCACTGGATTTTGCATTTCTGGTTCCCCATGGCATCCTGGGAACAAACTTTTTGAAACAGTATTCATATCACATACACACAAGGCACCACGGATAGGTGTCCTAACTAGGATTCTTTTTAGTAGGGGTGCCTCTTTGGGTAGTTACAGAAGTAACTGAGGATAATGGAGGAACTTGATTGGTACATTAGGGGCTCTGAGAATCATGAAGGGAACCCCCAAAGCCTATCATAGTCTCAATCTTTCTAATGTTATTTACTTAGCAGCTGGTTTTAAAAAACCTTATCATAATCAAAATATTTTTCACTATTGAAATTACAGTTTTCTTTTTCTAGCTTAAAATATCAGGTGGAAAAATACTTAAAGTACAATGCTTATTCCTTAGTACAAGCATTTTACTTTCATTACCAAGGAATCTTCTGTAAAATTATGAATGGATGGTTGGAATGGGATATCTAAAGTTAAGTTCAATCGTGTTACCGTAAGAAACACAAAATATCCTATTCTAATAAAACTCGACAAAATTTGTTAAAGGGACAAAAATATATTTGCAAGAAGCAACCAAAGATATTGAAGATAACACATGTAACAATGAATCAAGCACTCCTTGTCAAATAAGTATCAAGGAGAAAGAAGATGAAAGTTTGATGGGTGTATGTACCATAAGTCTTTAAAGTACACACATGTACAAGAGCTGCTTCAATACAACCCCAAAAGGTGATGAAATCCACACAAACATCTACTAAACAATGTTAAAAAGAGATGATACTTGTCTTTTATTTTTGTAATAACTACCAGGTTTTTGTCAAACTCATTGGGACTAATGAAGTAAAACCAAGATAGATGTTTATAAAGAATAAAAAACCAATTCCAAAGTTATGTATCCAAGTGTTAATAAATAACTACTTTTGTTAAAGTATACAAGGTAATTACCAGTTCAAAGGGAAGTTATGGAACTATGTTAACAACAAAAAATGTACATCAATACAAATGAACTGGAATATAAATGGAAGAAGATAAAATACTCAGCTATCAATAAATTAATTTAAATCTTTTTGAAAATATTTTCCCTTAAAATCTCCATATTAAAAGGATATAGTCTCAAAAAGAGCACTTAACATCAAAGTTCAATTACTATTATTTTTCTTCGCAATCGAAGGAACACCTAAAATTTGAGGCAAAATTTCTGAACAATCATTCTTAATTGTCTACAAGTCACATATTCTGATAAAGAAATAAAAAATGACACAAAAACATATCAGTAAGTTCAAATGCTTCTAAAATGTAAATTTTTATTTCAAAATGTATTTCAAATAGAAACTACTACCATAGCTATTAACCTTTCTTCTGGCAATTTGCCACAAAGTGGGTCAAGTTCAAAGGTCAACATTTGTATGATATACAACTCTCACTAATATGCTAAGTTGACATGATTAATGACGTGCATTATATCCTTTATATATAGAATCTGAGTCCAGTCAGGGCCAGTTCCTTGTACTTCCTACCTGTGAGTCTAAATAAAATTTGACAATTCTTATATGGTCACATTTTCTCTTCAAATTTCATTGGTATGACTAGGAAGAACTTTCTGTTTTAATTTATTTGACTTCAATATGCTATCTTATTAAGAGGAAAAAAGACAAAACAACATGTTTCAGCACAATGAAAGGTAAAATCTTTATTATTAGTTATAACCAACTAGTTTCAGTTGAAATGAAACAACAAATATTCTATTATTGACAAATACCAGATAAAGTAAAAACCTGAAAAATAAAAATTATTTTATACACCAGTATTTATGTACTTATAATAAACATTATGAAGATGGTCACCATCACAAGCAGGAAAATCCTTTTTTTAATATAAATTCCATCGTGAAAGTGTATAATTAAAATTTTTAGAAAACATCAAATTAAGCAAGGTTTGTAAGAAAGTAATAATCTTTTGTACTTATTATGGTATATAACATGCTGGTGATGTCTGACCTATAGATCTGTTCTTCCTGTGACATTAAATGAAAACAAGACTAATAATAATAATTTTTAACAAATCTTTCTTTACTGGCCCAATCTGGTCTTCCAGTAAGAACATAATAGCACTTCAACTGTGCACCCTGTATGCTGCACACTGCTGCTAATGAGGCCAGAACCATTTGGTCAGATGGGCATACAACATGTAAATCCTTGGTTGATATGCTATTTATATCAGTCAGTTGTAAGATATCAATTATTATTTCCCTCAAATGAGGACAAAGACCACCTGGAGGGGTCACCTGTTTTAACCACTCACACCACTCTACAGTAGTGTGTTGTGTGTCAGTCAGTCAGTAAACACTAAAATTATGTTAACTAATGATTAATCTTTCAAATTTTAACATAATAACTAACATAATCTAAGATATTGGTGATATATAAATAATTATTATATTCATGGTTATATATTGCATGTGCCTCATAGGTTTTGATCTTTAGGCTCCACAAATGTTAAAATCACTGAAGTTGTAATGTTGTAAAATTTAGTTAAGTATGAAGGTCTAGATTAAGGATGATGAGTTCATGGTTATTACAATGTAAACTATAACTGTGTTAGTCTGTGGATAAATTATTTACACTGTTTAATTTTTGTGTTTGAAGATATCAAAATGTAATTACGAATGAGAAATAAAAGTTAACTTTAATGACATAATAAAGTTAAGATATTTTGACTATTAGATTTATTTTGTGGGTCAGATGAAATGAAACATTTTATAGATCCCAATAGATTTTGTTACACATCATCAGATATGTGAGCACAAACCTTTCTATTCTAGACCAAACCACTTCAAATTACAATCTACAATTCATGATATTCTGGTATTGAGTGTGTTTTGCACAAGCTTACTTATTGTAAATGACATACAGTAAATGAAGGAAAAGGAAGTAAGGAGAATAAAATATCTTATTTATAGAACAAACAAGATACAGTTTAAGGTTATAGAAGAGGTATAATACTGTATTGTATTAGAAAACTAATAATTTTAAAATCAGTTATTCATTCTGTTTATAACATGCTAAGGACTATGATACATACTGAAACACCTCTGGTGGTCAGGGTAGTTCCCCAACCATTTAAGTTAAGATCAGAAGTATGCCGTAGCCACTGCTTGCTGAGACGAATGAGCTGGTTTTCAGTACGACGGATTCTTCCCCAAGAGAGATCTACATATTTCCACAGAGATAGATCTTGTGAAGCTTTATTCCAAAGTTTACAAACTCTGGAAACCCTACATGAAAAATATAGTGTTTAATACATGAATACACTATACAGAATTATCAAAGCAAAACCCTGATTGTAAAAAAAACAAAAAAAAAAAACTACCCTGCAAAAAACTCCTATAAGTATTTCTATATATTGTAATAATGCCATTGCAACTGATCTCGATAAATAAAAAAACAAAACTTTTTTATACTTTATTTTTTACTTCCAGTATTAAAAAGAAAAATAAGTTATATATTTAAATCTACATATAGTCAGCAGCTTGTCATATGAGAGCTGGCAAGCATAACTTGGTAAAACAGAGCTGAAATGTATTACTTTGATTTTAATTACCATAAAAAACTTCTTTGAATAGATGATTAAGAGCTGTATTCAAAAATGTATTTCTTTAACCTAAAACTTTAATTTCTTACCGTTAAGGATATTTTTTCCAATTAACGTGCTAAAAAACATTCATTATTGATCATTCTTTTTAAAACAAAGTTATGGTGAAAATAATGTTTAACTCGATATTACAACCAAGACTGATAATTAAAATTAATTCTTAGCCGTACCCTTAATGAATGAAGGCATTAAGCAGTCTAAGTAACATAACATTTTACAACACAAATAAAGACTGATAATTAAAATTAATTCTTAGCCTTACCCTTAATGAATGAAGCCATTAAGTAGTCTAAGTAACATAACATTTTACAACACAAATAAAGACTGATAATTAAAATTAATTCTTAGCCTTACCCTTAATGAATGAAGCCATTAAGCAGTCTAAGTAACATAACATTTTACAAAACAAACAAATGTATGAAAGTTGTTACTAAAGTTTAATCCCTACAATACAGTAACTGTTTATGCTTTATTTAATACTTTTGATATTTAATAACTGATAAGCAAATCCATGTCCAAAAATAAAGTCTTTTCGCACGTAATGAATGAATACCTGTTTACCAATTCCTGATACCAGGGAAAAGCCAGCATAGTAGAAAAAATAATATAAACATGACACACATGATGAATCTTTGCCACATTCTGATAACATTCATTTACTCTCTCTATATGTGATTCCATGTACTTTCTATAGTATCACACTATTTAGTATTTACAACCTATTTTGTTTTTTGCAGAATCAAATATCACATTAGCTTGAATTCTGCATATTTCTTTTGCCATAATTCACAAGAACAGTTGAATTGGAAGTTAGTAAAAGGTCTGTCTGATAAAAGTACATATATATGTAAGACTGATAAGTAATTTCTATATCACCAGTGATATCCAATGAAGTAATATAACCATAATGTTTCATGAATGCAGAATATTAAAAACCTATTAATCATGATATTTTTTTTATATTTGTACTGAATAGTATTATAAGATTTTACGTGTAAAATTATCCAATCAAATCTAAACTATTCTAATCCAATGTTGTGAAAAAAACAAACACAAAATGAAATTCTTCTACATCTCACCAGCATTTTATTGCTTATTATGCAATATACAAAGAATCTGAATATAAAAAGAAATCACTTTAAACATTTTTGGAGTAGAATGGGTCTCTTATAACTATTTTATAACTGAAAATCTATTTAAATAATTTTTTAAAATTATGCATCTTTTAGATTAAATTGGTCCTATAAGTAAACTTTAAACAAGGCTTAATGAAGCACAACTACAGATATACATTAAAAAAATAATAATAATAAAACAAATCACACAAGTTACATCAATATAAATACTGTCATTATATAGCACTTAACATAAAGAGATTGTTTCTACATTATGTGACATATTTGAAACAGAAAAGAAACCAATAATCCTCTCTCTGCATTAAGCAAGATATTTAGTCTACTAAAACTTACCTGGGTAATAAAGGGAACACACCATCTCTATTGACTATAGTTCTAAATATCTGAACAAGTATTTTTTCTGGAATGTACTTCCCCCAAGGCCCTTCAACAAAGTCAGGAGGATATTCTGGGGCTTTACTAGTTTTTTTGGCTCTAGGCTTTGATTTAGGAGGTGCATTAATCTTTTGCAACTGTTTTATGTCCTTAGTTATTTCTCGGTCTTCTTTACTTTTTTTACGTTTCTTTGACTTCACCCTTCTTTCTCCATCATAGTGCTTTCTCTTTTGCTTATCTTTATCCTTTTTCTTTTTTTCTTTGGAATATCAGCGCTTTTCTCTTCATTTTTCCGCTTCTTTTTTTTCCCCTTCTTGGAGCCATGAGAAGTTACGTGTTTGGTTAAGGGAATTCTATTACAGACATCAGAAGTTATGCTTGTACTGTACACACTTTCAAAATTGTACTCTGAACTGCTCATCATTTTAATCCCACTGCTTTTAGCAGTTTCACTGTCAGTCTCTTTGGCTGCTGAATTGTGTTCAATGACAACAAACTCAGTGTTACTTGGTAAAACTAGATGAAATGTATCACTAAGTAGGTTACCAGGTCGAATCTGATCATCGGTTTTGCCAGGCACCGGAAGGATTTGATTTTCGGTGTTAGGTGGTAAACTCTGATGTTCAATATCTGCAGATAGGCTTTGCTTACTAGGGTTACCAATCAGCTTTTTTTCTTCAGTGTTAACAAGCAGGTTATGATTATCAGTATTTTCAGGTAAGTTCTGAATGTCTTCTTCCACTGTGTCACAGGAGCTGCTATCCTCTGCTAAAGGGTAATTTCTAAAATGATAATACATATTAATTATTCTTATTCACATGCTATGCAGTATTCTTTTGTTTAGCAATTGCTGAAGCCAACTATTCCTTGCCTTACATGTGTAACTACTCAGCATATAATAATAATTTTTTAAATAGTTGGTTAATTACTTAGTAAATGAATATATAAAGTATTTTCATGGATACAGTAATTTAAATAATTGATATAATTCTTGTTTTATTTGAAATTTATTCAAAAATTTTACAAATACATCTATTCACAATTAATATTTTTCTATTTTTGATACATATAAGTAGCTGCTGTTGTGTTGTTTAAATACTTTATATAATGATACATTATGGTGATTTTTAAATTACTAAAATTGCAACATGCTGTCTCAGATAAGTGCAATCTAGAAAAAAAATACTGCATTAAGTTCCTTGAATCTTGTGTATAATGTTCAAAAACCATTTATTTTCTATAAAAGATATTTTTTTACTATACTTAGTAGGCAGTGGCTACAGTTATGGGCCTGTGAACCTTTTGCTATTTTAATAGTGGTTTGTACTGTGCATGAGTAATACCAATATCTGGCAAGTGTATGAAACCAAGTGTACTACACTTTCAGAACATTCCAGCCCTATTACAGATCAAGGGCTTTGTTCACTTGCTTTCATACCAGTGGGGTTACACTAACCCAAAGGTGAACTCTTCATATCAATGTCCCCAGCAGTTTGGGAGTGGGGAAGCGAGAGTTCTAATTTTACTTCACTTTTAGATAATGGAAGAAAGGAATTTGTTGGGGTAAGAACACATGAAAAGTATGTGGCCCAATTATAAATTTTCTATCATCTACATAAAGTCCTACACTGATAGACTGTGTAGTGGGAATAAATAGGGACAGCAGGCACTAGTCAGGGTGAGGACATGACCACACCTGGTATTGCTATATTTAATTATTATTATCATTCTTTCTGAAGTATGGCTTGGAAAGTAACATGTATATGTACTGTCAAAGGCAGTCTTGCAGAAGACCTCATCTCAACAGCAGGCACTTAACAAGTGCAGATGGGCTTAACACTTTCTGTTATCCCCCACTCAATACAGATTTTGGAAAGGAGAAATATTCCTTGTGTTGCAACATTAGCCACATAAGTGAATTCTATTATCACCAGTATATATATATATGTGTGTGTGTGTGTGTGTGTGTGTGTGTATATATATATATATATATATATATATATATATATATATAATACTATTATATA